AAGGTTGAGATGTCAAACAACTAGAAATATCTTTTTGAAAGATGTTTTCCTCATCAAAAAAAAATGTCAGAATCGAGGTCGTCTACTTGCTTTCCTCCAGAATGTTATTTTCTGCATCCAGTCTGCTTAGAGTTCAAAATGATTTTTCCAAATTCAACTTGCATTTTCAGTTCTGTATGCTCTCTTACAAAATGAGGTTTTGGTAGCCACCCAAGATGCCCTTAGTACAAAGTGTGTTCGTTTTATTGGAAGAGATATTAAGTTAAATATTCCATGGCCATCCCAGGACAAAATAAAGCAATGGAGTAAGTAAAAAGAGTTTGAAACAAGTTCAAAAAGAAGAAGAAAATAAATTTTCTGGTATATAAATTGGATGAAAGAAGTCTTTTTCAAAGCAACCCCAAACAAGACAGACTGGTACTAAATGTTTTTCCCAAAGCTAGGTTGGCTTAACCTGATACTAACAAAGATCAATACAAGAGATTATCTTCAGTGGCTATCTGCAGACAAATTGTGTCTTACTCGGCTTGCTTCTTCCTTCTTGTGTTCCCAGGCCTTCCTAATACTTCTAAAAAGCAAAATAGTTTATTAGTGAGGTTGCTTGAATTATTGTAATGAGATTGTATGCTAGCTTAATACTCATTTTCATTCTTGTATTAACTTTTATTTTCTCTCTTCATAAAGTCCATATTATGAAGAAAGATTTTAAAAGATCAAAAATAATTATTAATAAACAGCTTATGAAAAAAATAGCAGACAACAATGTGGTTCAATAATTGGCATCATTTTCCCATTTCTGTTTTTTGATTTTCTATACCTGATTACTGAAATTAATTGGACATTATTTTTTAATGAACAAAATAAGTTAGAATTTTATAAGCAAAAAAAATAAAAATGATATTCAATTTATTTTATTCTAGACTCCATTAGCCCCAGACAAAAAAATATATATATCAGTAATTGAAAAAGAGAAAAAAAAAATAATAGTTTTTTTGAAAAAAAGAAAAAGGAAAAAAAGAGAAAAGGAGAAAAAAGGAAAAGGAAAAAGGAAAAGTGAAAGAAAAAAAAAAAAAAAGAAAAGAAAATGTTTCTAAAAGTTAAAATTTTAAAATAAGTTCTCAAATAAGAAAACCGTTACTGTAAAATTAAAAAAGTATTATACCTATATTAGTTGTTTATGAAATTATCTCTTTTTGAAATTTTTAAAAATTTATTTATTCCCAAGTGTTAGTTTGATGAAACCCATTATCACATATTTTCTTAGTGTAATCAAGGTTTTTGTCATTCTAGAATATATGCCACTTTCCAAAACAATCTTATAGAATCCATAACACTATCATTCTCTAGCTGTATTTAAACTTTTAAGATTTAAATACATACACACATATATATATATATATATATATATATATATATATATATATGAGTTGGTTGGTTTGGAAATTTATGTTTCAGTATCAGTTTCTTGTATTTTTTTCCTTGATTACCGCAGTTTTTCAATTTGGTTTTCTGTTTTTAATTTTGTTTTTTTGCTTTCTAAGGAACCCATTCATTTTCTTGTGTAATGATAGCATTTCCAGTCAATATTGATTTCTGATTTGAGATTGATAATATTTAATCCATTTGCAATATCTCATGTATTTCTGGTCCAGTTTTAAAATTATTGTGTATTCTGGAAAGAAAATAATATAATCTTTTAAAAATAATTTGTATGTGTTTTTTATTCATTGAATTTTTTTTTTTTTTTTAACAGGGAGTTTATAATGGTATTGCTTCAACCACTCAAAAAAGAAACTTTTTTTTCAAGTAATTATTTTATTTTGTTTTGCAAAATCAAATTCAATCTTTATCAATATTCTTGAAATTGTACACTCAATTAGAAGACAATTTAAAAAAAGGAAAAATGAAATCTGACCCTCAATGTTTCAAAATTAAATAAAGTAAAATAAGAAAAAAACAAAAAAATGTGGCAATTCTTTTGTGGTATGCCTGTCAACTATTATTTGGGTTTTTGCAAAAAATTTCTTCTAAACAAGGAAAAATCAATGATCAATGAGCTATTTTCCCCTAAATAAATTTATGTTTTTATCTAGTGAATACACCTACCTAAAATTAAATATTAAAAATAATTAAAAGATTTTTATTTTCATTTTTAGAATGTGTATATTTCCAAATCTGCAAATATCACCTATTCTTTTTTAGATAAACATTTTAAAACTGAAATTAAAAACTATTTTAATCATTTTAATATGATCTTACTTAAAGTGTATTATTCATCAGATAAAACCATAACAATATTTGTAAAAATAAAATGAATTAATTTTCCTTGTTTAGAAAAATTTTATAGGCAGAACAGTAAAACACCCACTGAATAGTACTAGTGGCTAAAAAAAAGAATATAATTTTTACTTTGGTTTAAAAAAAAAAATGACTTGCAGTTTTGAAAAATATACACATTTTAAAACTGAGATTAAAACTTACTTTATTTTTTTTTATCTTTTTTTTACTAGATAAACATAATTTTATTTGTATAAAAAAACATTTTAGAAAACAGAGAAACTAGAGAATATACATAAATGAAAAAAGTGAAATTAAGAATTATTTTAATTATTCTTAATATCTAATTTAGCTGCATACCCGAGATAAAAAAACAAATTTATTTATTAAAAAAAAATTAAAAAAAAAAAATTTTTATTCATTTTCTTGTTTACAACTTTATTTTCATGATTGCCTTATATAGAAAAACAATGGATTACAAAAAATCCAACTTCATAAAATTTAACATTAAGACAAAACTGGCCACTATTTTTTATTTTTACTTGCTATTTTGTTGTTAATTTAATTTTACAACAATTTTTTTTTGTTTGTTTGTTTTTTGAAAACTGAAACAAATAGATTTCAGACATCATGTCATATTTTCCTTTTAATTTTCTGTTTGAAAAGATTCTATGATTTCCAAGTGTCATATCTGTCATATTTCCTTTTGTTTCTTATTCATTTCTTTTGTAAACATAGATTTCACATTTATTTCCTAAAACTAGTCAATTAAATGTTTTTAAAAATGAGAAGTTTAACTGTTTCAGTTAGTGAAAAAGCTAATTAAAATTGGCAAATTCCAGACTGACTTAAAATGAGCCTTTGTGTCAGATGTGGCTAATGATTGACCAGCACTTTTCCTAAATATTTCCAGTGTATATGTTAGTTTTAGATGGAAAAATATTTACCAAAGTTTTGTGATTTTTGTTCAATTTTTTCTCTTACAATGTTGATAACATTACATTTTATTAACATCTAAGAGTCTTTTTCAATAGTGTTTCTTTGGATATGGTCATTCAGTAGCACTTAAACAAATGATTTCAGTTTCATAAAAAATTCTGATGTGGTTTCACAGTGCAAAGGTGAAACCAAAAAAGTCAGTTTTTCGGTTAAACTAACCATCTCTAGCACACACACATGCACGCATGCCAGCACCTTTCTCTTCACTTTCCATTACTTTTCTCTAGGACTTCTACACTAACAGCTTAAATGTTATTTTTCATATTCATTGTTTTATCATACGCATCAATCTTCTATTGTCTATGTATACCCTTGTTTTGTTAATATATACTTATCATTCAAGTCTGCAATTATTGTTGCGGGAAAAATATACCAAGAGATGTATTTTCTAACCTAAACACTACCAGCACATCCACAACAAAACAAGTTTAATTTTAGTCCTTTTCTGTGTCCGTACCTTTGAAATTGAAAATTTGTAGTTATTACTATCCAAAAAGAAAAAATGAGAAGTTTAACTGTTTCAGTTAGTGAAAAAGCTAATTAAAATTGGCAAATTCCAGACTGACTTAAAATGAGCCTTTGTGTCAGATGTGGCTAATGATTGACCAGCACTTTTCCTAATTATTTCCAGTGTATATGTTAGTTTTAGATGGAAAAATATTTACCAAAGTTTTGTGATTTATATTTTATAAAATCAGAATGGTAACATGTTAAATCAACAGACGTTTATCAAATTTGGTACACTTATAGAGCTTCATGGTACTAATTGAATGGTCAAAAGGTTCCAAAGATATGACCCTTTGTTGCCAAAAAGGTGAATTTTGAAAAATAGTCAAAGTTTAAATATCAATACGTCAGTTGTTTTTTTACCTACAAAGCTAAATTATATACCATTTTAAAGTACTTGGATGGATCTGAAACATGATATATTTATTTTTTTTGTTCAGAGGTCAAATATAATAATTTGATCCTGACCTTTAATTTCTGAAAAAGTGTATCTTTTAATTTTTTTAATATTTCCATAAGATCCATGGTTATAAAATCAATAGAATTTGTGTTATTTGTGGTCAAATGTAGACAAATTCAGTTGAAAATAAACAACCTTATTTTTGATTTTGTTTAAATGAAAAAGTGACTTAATGAAAAAAAAGTATTTAAAAAAGTGTTATTTTATGTAATCTCAACAGATTGAGATTACATAAAATAACATGAAAATATGTAACAAATAATGTCCTAAATAAATAGATCACATTTTAGATCCATCCAATGGTATACGATTTAGCTTTGTAGGTGACAAAAAACAACTAACATATTGATATGTGACCATATTTTCCAAAATTCATCTTTTTGGCAAAAGTGAAAGGGTTGTATCTCTGGAACTCTTTGACCTAGAGATTTAGAATAAACAACATTCAATTCATATCATGAAACTCTTATAGTGTACTAAATTTGAAAAAGGTATGTGTCTGTGATGGTCAGACTCTTGTTGATTTGACATGAAATGACTTAATTATGAATTATTACATAGAGATAAAAAATTGGCATATTAGCTACAGTAACTTTTTATTGAATCATAGCATGAATATAGCTGAATATATTTTGCTTTATTTGCTTTTTACTTGCTGTACTTGAGTAAATATATATTTTCCTTGACTTCTTTTTTTTTTTTTTTTAGCTATAATCAAAAGAGTGACATTTGGGCATTAGGGTGTGTATTATATGAAATGGTTACATTAAAAAGGGCATTTGAAGCTTCAGTAAGTACAAAAACAAAACATTTAATTATGGTTGTAATTCCTTTACAAAAATGTCATTTGTATTTATTATAAAAATTTAAGAAAAAAAATGAGGCCATTGCCAAAATGTAAAAATGGGCATCTCAAGTCTATGCTTTTGCTTCTTGAGATGCAAAGCATATATGTGTATGTGAGGAGGATGCAACCTGCTAGTTGATTTTGAGGATCATTTGACACTTGCAAATATTTGGGACCTATATACATTTAGTGATATACATTTTTTATTTATCTATGATAACAATTTCTAGTTTACCTTTGGTCCACTTTGACATTGAATGAAAAATATTGACTTTTCAATGCCTTTTTCAACTTTAGGAACAACCAAAATTCTGATAGTGCCAAATCAGAGCTGCACATAATAATAATGAATAATAACAATTGTGAATTTCAGGCTTCTCATCATTTATATGGTTTATTGACTGCAAAGTGGGATAGTATAGTCTGGATGCAAAAAAGTTCTCTGAAGATTTATTCTGCAGATGTCTTGTTTGAGGGCTCTCACTGTTGCATGGCTTTAATCGATCAGTGAACTTTGATTGGAATTCAATTTTCTACTCCCAAAATTCTATCACTGATCAATACTTTATATGTGACAGACTATTTTATTCATGACTAACATGCACTCAATGCCATCACACAGCAAATTTGAACAGGACTTTGAATACTCTTGAATATTGTTCAAGATATGTTTTTATTTCCAACAGTCATGCATGTGAGGAGACCTTACTTATCAGTCAAGACTTAGAGATGAAAACTTTGCTCCATGAGAAGAACTCATGGAACATTTTATATAGTAATGATTTCTATGTTCCTTTATAATAGTCTTACATGATATCTAAGAGGTAAGCTTAATTGGGTTATTTTGAACAAGCAGTTTGCATATTGGACTCATTTGTGTGCCTCACAATTTCACTACTGCAAGTATTGGGTTTGTGTCAACAATTTCTATTGGTATTACCCATTCTTTCACTTTTTGAGAGAAAATTATGATGGAAAACAAGATCAGCATTGAATTCACTACCTTCTATGTTTTTGTACAAAAGAGGAATTATTTTGTACCCAGATATTTTTTATCCCTTAAGTTAGTACATTTTAGGAGTACCTTAATTCACTACTTCTATCTGCAATACACTATTTTGACTACTTAGAAATTATATACAGATGTACAAAATCATATAGACAATTCAGTCAATATCTTTTGTCACAGAATTTGGGAGCATTATCAATTGCTCTATTTCTAGCAAATATTATACATGATATTTGTTTTACAGTAATAATTTTTTTTATCCTGAACTTGGAAAAATTCAGGCCAAGCGAAAAAAGCGTCAACCAGTATTAGACATAAACCTACTCCATTAACTTCATTCATATGAACTTTAGACCATGGTTCTGTTTCCTTAGACTAAAAGTGTAACTTACTGTGCTGAAAGTTCTTTATTTCAACACATTTAGGACATTTGTGTACACAATTCTCTACATCTCAGATGTGTCCCGGTCACCACTCTTCCAATTTTAACTGTTTTTGTGTAGCTGTTATCCCACAATGCACATCAGCATGTACACTTTAATTACTTCTTTCCTACATTTTTCTGGTGGTACGACTAAATCCCCACTACAAATTAGACCATTTTCTATTGATAGTTTGTGTCTGGTTTCTTTGTATGATCTTTCTGCTTTTGAACAATTACTCCATTTATTGTTCCTTATTCTAGATAAAATTTGACTTAAAACTGGATCAATTAGTATATTCATGGGCAACACATCCGTTTCCACCCACTGCAAAAATTCATCCTCAACTTTATTTTTTTTTTTTTTCAAATTGTGATCGGAACAATGCATCTTTGTGGTATTGTGTTTCCCTTCACATATTCTATATCATAATCAAAAGCCCATTTTAATACTCTGGAGTATGTAACTTTTGGCAATTCCTTCCTTGCATGGAATATAAACTCTAAGGGCTTGTTATTGGATCTCAACAAAAAATTTTTTTGCTAATAAAAATTGTCTTTTTCCACACAATCACAAGGGCTTCCTTTTCAATATTAGTATTTCAATTCAGCTGGTGTCAATGTCCTGGAAAGATACATCAACAGTTATCCTTCCTGAGACAAAATTGCTGATACCAACTGGCCACTTGCATCTGTGGTTAATATAACATCCTTTTTAGGTTCAAAAATATTGACCACAGACTCTTAGATAGAGATTCTTTTAATTTAATCAAGGCTGTTTGCTATGTACTAGTCCATTCAAACTCCTTATTCTTTCTTTCGCAACTCAGAAAACACTTCCATTCTTTCAGAATATTTTGATAAAAATTTGCTATAAAAATTGACTAATCCGAGAAATGATTCCAATTCTTTTTTATTAGTTGGAGAAGATATTTATTGTATTAACATTGGGTCCATCAAAGTACCATTTTCTGAAATTTGATAACCCAACAATGTTAATTATTTGCAATTAAATATACACTTATTTATCATCATTCCTGTCTTCCTCATAGTCAGGGTACATGTGAATGGTGTGCAATGTTTGACTCTCATTGACACAGGATGTTCCCGCTTAATAATCAGTGCAAACCGCTGTCAGGCTTGGAAGGAGAGACATGTGACAATTAGGACTATTGACAGGACATCCTATGCATGCTGCGGAGTTGGAGTAATTTCACTCGTAACAGATGGAGGTGATTGTGCTGAGGTGGACACACTGGTGGTTTGTGACAAGCCTCTGGGGTACAATTTGATGATCGGAATCGATGTCATACGTAAACTAGGTGGAATTGAAGTGGACAGGAAATAAAGCACCAGATCAATTACGCAACACCATTGCAGAATATACAGTGTCGAATAAGAACAGAGTTGCCTACAAGAGTGAAATGGAGACGTGGATTGTGAATGGCTGGCTGATACCATATCCATAAGACTAATTGGGACCCCCAAGAAGATTAATCCCCTTAATGGCCGTTACACAAGCCACCAGAGCTAAGGTACAGCCAGTGATGGACTATAGAGATAAATCAATACATAGATATCTTTACGGTGGATGCAGACATGTGTGCCAAACAAATGAGGGAAGCTAAGGTGGCTCTGCTTGACTTGCGAAAAGTGTATCTTCAAATACGAATCCATGAGACATTATGGCCTTTCCAAACAGTTATTGTCAAAAGAAAGAGGTACTACTTGACATGTCTGGGGTTTGGTCTTAATGTGGCTCCCCTAATTATGAAATCAGTCATTAAGACAGTACTAGATCAGGATGAGCCGATGAAAAGAGCTGCGTCGACATATGTCAACGACATATATGTAAATGAGGACATACTTTTGGCGAATGAAGTCAGGCACAGATTAGAATCTTTCAGCTTGTCTAGCAAAGATCCTATTCAATTAAATGATGGGGCCGATGTGCTTGGACTTAAAGTCTGGGGGGAGCACAACACATTGTGGTGGAAGTGAAGGAGCTCAGTTCCGGAACTCCGCACTACACTAACCCGAAGCACAGTATTTTCCGTATGTGGGAAGTTAGTGGGGCACTTTCCTGTATGAGGGTGGCTTCATGCAGCTACAGAAATGATAAAAAGACAAGCAAACATGATAACAAACAGGTGGCATGACACTATGAAAGACGCCCCTCATACGCAGATGATTGTTGAAATGCTTACTAGAGTGCACCAAGACAACCCTGTTCAGGGAGATTGGTGCGTGACTGGAGAAGTCAATGCATGGATTGATGCAAGCTCCCCGACAATTGGATGCCGCATTGAAAGGTAGAAATCTGGCATTACAGTGGCAGGCCAAGGTGGTACACCTATACACGGACTCGGTATGTGTGTACCAATGGCTACGGAACATCCTGACAGGCAAGACCCAAGTGAGGACGAAAGCTGTGAGCGAAATGCTAGTGTGCAGGAGACTGACTATCCTACAGCAGCTAATCAAAGAATATAGTTTGGTAGTTGACGTCAGAAGTAAGTCTCATATGCAAATTATAGCTGCCCCCAACGCAGACATAAATAGCGAGTCTGGGAGTAAGACGGCAGAACGCATTGTTGCCATGATGGCGTACGGGTGTACTATTGAGACTGAGAGAAAAAGAGGTCAATAGCAACAGCTCAGTTGGTAGACCGGAGGACTGGACGAAAGGAAGCTCTTTAATCCATTTCAGTCATCGCAAACGACGGGCAAACTGAATTACCCACACTTTTAAAAACAGCAACAATGTTCTTTGGATATCACATAATTTCCATAAAATAATGACATTTTCAGATATTAAATTTTTCCACACTACTTCAAATAAAAAGGAAGGAAGGAACCCTCCTAAATCAATTTAGTTTGAGCGATAACAGCTACTGGACTTTTTAAGCCTATTTTGTTGAAAAATCCTTTTACCAATCGGATTTGAATAAATTTCTTCCTCATGTGCTTATTCCTCGTTCATGAAATTCTGAATATCTTAAAGAAATGGCTAATATTACCATTATAATTATCTGATGGTATGTCTTAACCTTCTTAGATATTTCCTTATAGGCTCCCCAAATTCTTGTCTCCATTCTAAAAATTTGGCTTTTTTCTTTTTGACCAATATTTAGTTGAATTTTTTAATTTTATTTTTTGAAAACCTGGTTATTTTCAATTTCAAATTGTAATATTACCTTTCAGATTATTTGCTTTGTATCCCTTCAATTTAACAGGAAATATAACCCTTTTATTAAAACTGCACTATTCCTAAAATTTAAATAAATTGTTGGCTCTATAAATTCATAATAAATTCTTTTAAAGTGATTAAACTGGAATTGTTTCAGGAAACTTAGAAAAAAATAGTCATAAATTTTGCTTAAATATTGGAAATATTCTTAACATTTTTTAAAATTGATTTTTAGCATTTTCTTTTTTAGAACCTACATGCACTGATAATCAAAATTGTTGGAGGTACATTTGAACCAATAGCTGACATATACAGTGAAGATTTGCGGCTGCTAATATTGAGCATGCTTCATCGGGACCCAAACAAAAGACCTCACATTAATCAGATCATTTCTCAGCCAAAGATTATTAATCACATCATGTATTTGTACACAGACTGGGGAAAGATACCTTCTATCAGGTAAATCTTATTCCTAATAATTTACCCACTTCTATTATTCGGTCAAGGGAGCCGTCTTTTAAAGCATTTTGATCTGTACAGATTTTGATGTTAGGAACACAAGTAATACTTTGAATTATTTTTCCTCTTAAGCATTCCCAGTTAAATTTTTTTAAACACTTTACACGGTTTAAAATTTATATTATTTTGTATCATACCATTAATCATTTATCTTTTAATGTTTTAAATGTATTAGGGTGTTTAGGATTAATTAATATATATTGCAAAAATTATTTAAATTGTTTTTTATTAATCATTAATATTATTAATCAGGCTATTTGCCTGAGATAGATTACATATGTTGTATTAATTGCTTGTATTAATGATCCTCTTTTAAATAATTAATGTAAATATTCAGTAAAATATATAAATGTATTTCAGGCAAATTTTAAGGTAACAGAATCATTTTTTACTGAAAATGATTGCAGAAATAAATTTATTGAATGTAAGGAGTTAATTTGAATTCATTTTAGTGTTATATTATCTCACACTAGTTATGCTATAAGATTTGTTTTAGTTTTAAATTCATTTTTCTCCTGATTTCTGAATCTTAATGTTTTTTAGAACTTTGTCTTGACAAATTGTTTGATGCCAGACCATTCCCATTCATTTGTGGCTTGTACGAAGTTCCTGAAATCTCTTCAATATTTTACCAACTTGATTTTCCAATTTAAAACATTTCAACTCATTTCTTCTGGTATAATAAAACTTCTTCTTTTGATTTAACATAAACATTTAAGTCTGAAGAGAAGGCCTCTGTCTAATTTATGTTCATGCAAAAATCAAATAACTTGAAATTCAAACTGTGTTTTGAAAATACGTTCGGTTTTTCTATTTTATCAGTTTTTCATAAAATAGAATTGCATTGCGTCCATGCATTTCCTTAATCTCTTGAGTAAAAAAGTTAATATATGCTAAATAAAATTACAATATTAAAAAACTAAACAAATCAAACTCTTTAATTTTAATACTTTGAACAAAATGGATGAAAGAAAATTTCAAAGTGGGAATCTTCCATTTTTTAAATTGTTATAATGCCTTTTTAAAATAAAATAACCTTTTTCAATTATGTTTGCCAAATTTAAAGATATTAAGACTTTTAAAATATGACTATATTTTGTTCTGGATTTATCAAACAATTTTCTATGTTTTTTTTTTATCATTTCATCCAAAAACACAAATTTCATATCTTAAAACTCTATTTGTTATTAAAAATTAAAGATTTATATCAAAAAAAGTTCTTCTTTATATATAGAGAACAATGAAAATGAACAGGAATTATTATAGAAGATTTTTGTCAATTGTATTTATTTTGTTTGAAGATGAAAATTGACTGAAACAAAACCCTGTTGATGTAAGTATTTCATCAGACGAAGAAACTGTTAGCATAGAAATATGAACAAAATCTACCATTTTTGTAAATTGAAGACTTTGTTCCTATATCTGGTCTAAATTCTAAATGCTATCTAGAGAAGATTATTTATTCAAAATTCAAAAATGGGTACAGTAAAAAGGATATTTCTGAGATGGTCTTGTATTATGTACATTATTTACATTATTCAGACACAACTGTGACCCAATCTTTGTAACCATATTTATCAAAACAAACATTCTTCTTAGCATTCTTGTACGCTCCATTGGAAAATTCTTTATGAAACTTAACTACAATTTGTTTATAGGAAAATCAGAGAAATGAAAACAACATTTTAAAAACAAATAATGCACATTTACAATAAAAAATCCTATTTACAAAAGCAATGAAACAAAGTTAGTAATAAAAGCCCTGGTAAAAAACCTAAATGATGACAGAATCAATAGTTAATCAGATAAAATGGTTGCTGAAGACATTGGTTTATAATACCCAGAAAAAAATCCAGATAACCAACTATTCATTCAACATTAAATACAGGCGTTGGTTAGCCCAAAAAAAAGACCCAAGAGTGTGAGTTCAATCACCCAATTAAGGCAGTGGAGGGAACTTAAAGAGGGAAAAATTAGACAAAATAAACTGGGGGCTGACATCCATCAAACATCCTCTAGTTAACTAGAATGTCTACCTCAACTAGCAAAAAAATGAACCTGAACTTCTATTTTGGATTGGGTTGCCAATATTCAGTCCAGATGCGTACAAGTCAGCTCTTTTTACTCAAAAAATGCGAAAAAGATCAGGACAATAATGTCAAATTCAGTAATGTAACCTTTGTGTCTTGATCTTCTATTTTTCTTTAAAGCCTCATCTCAGGAATTTAAATTTTTCCATTAGACTGAACAAGGAAGTTTTAAAGTAATTTGCTAAATGCAACCACTTGAAGAGAATGTTTGACAGTTGGGACAACTTACTGGAGTGTATGAACATGTTCGGGGCCCAGACATAATGAACAAATCTATTAGGTGATATCAGAGGGCTCTGCCTAATCAGGTGAATGATCTCTTATGAATAAAAAATAAAGGCATTTAAGAAGATTCTATTATATTCTTTGTTGCAAAATTCTTGTTTTAAAAACCAAAACAAATGATTATTTCATCTCAAACAGCCCCCCCACCCTCTAAATAGTTAGTTTGATTTAATTGATTCGGGACAATACCTGGATCTTCAAGATTAAATAATTAATTCAATTAATATTTGAACTGTTTAAATTCAGATTTTAAAGTTTCACCTCCAGGACAAATGTTGGTCTCATCTTTGTTACCATATTCAGGGACGTTTCGTTCTGTTTAATGTGTTCTTCAGAATTTGATTGGAATTGATTGCAAACCCTTTAGTTTTGGAAACAATGCAAATTGTTGTGTTGATGGATGTCAATGTCTCACTAGGTATATCAAACCCCTTTAAAAGGTGGAGGTAATTTACCTTCAATGTGCCGTAGTCAGCCATGAACCCACAAGAGGGAGGAAAATCACTGGATCTACACCAATGCCACTGGTAGATGGGAGTGAAAATGGTGAGTAAATAAAGGAAAATACCTCATCTCAAAATAGACAGATTTTGCTTTAGCTTCCTTATAATTTTAAATTTCTTAAATGGTTTTCACTTTTAAAAATATTTTTTACCATTCTTATTTTTGCCATCACTATCCTTTTTTTTGTTTAGGAAATTTAAATTTTCTGGCTCATTTTCCAATTTTTTGTACCAAATTTTCTAATAATTTTTGTCTTGGTTAATATTGTCTCAAACCTCCCTCTACGCTCTACATAGACAGATTGTGGGTGCTCTAGGGTCCCTTTCTGTAGGGTCCTCAATTCTTCTTAGTGATAGTTACATTTTTCATTGTTATATAAATTAAAATGCTTTCAATTTATTTTTGTACCATTTTTCAGCAATTTTGATCAATTTTTCTTCAGGAGGTGTTTTATATATTAAATAAATAAATACACTAATGAGGAAAGTTTTTTGTCACCTTTAAGAGCATTAATAATTAGTAAGTTTAGTTACTCCATTTCTAAACTAGGATGCATAATATTTATTTTACTGTAATAAATTTTTATCCTGAACTCAGAAAACTTCAGGCCAGGCAAAAAATGTGTCAACCAGTATTAGACATAAACCTACTAACTTGTGCATGATCCATACAAACTCTAGACCATGGTTCTGTTTTCTTCAGACTAAGAGTGTAACTTATTGTGGTGAAAATTCTTTATTTAGGCACATTTGGAATATTTGCGTATGTAATTCTCCATATCTCAGGTGTGTCTCAACCATTTGTGCTTCCAATTTTAACCTGTTTTGTGTAGTGGTTATCCCACAATGCACATCATCATGTACACTTTAATTACTTCTTTTACATTTTTGGTGGTGGTACGACTAAATCCCTACTAAAAATTAAACCATTTTCTATTGATAGTTTCTGCCTGGTTTCTTTGTATGGTCTTTCTGCTTTTGAACAATTACTCCATTTATTGTTCCTTATTCTAGATAAAATTTGATACTGGATCTCATAAGATCTCCATAATTAGTCTATTCATGAGCAACACATCCGTTTCAACCCACTGCAAAAATTCATCCTCAACTTTTTTTATGTTATTTTTGTTTTGTTCCTTTTCAAATTGTAGTCAGGACAATGTGTCTATATGTGGTATTGTGTTTCCCTTCACATATTCTATATTATATCATAATCAAAAGCTCATTTTAATATTCTGGATGATGTAACTGTCAGCAATTCCTTCCTTGCATGGAATACAAATTCTAAGGGCTTGTGATTGGATCTCAATAAAAAATTTTTTCGTAATAAAAATAATCTTGCTTCATACAATCACAAATGCTTCCTTTTCAATATTAGTATTTCAATATTAGAGTATTTCAATTCAGCTGGTGTCAATGTCCTGGAAAGATACATAGGAACTGATTTGTAAATCCTGGGACAAAATTGCTATTACAGACTGGCCACTTACATATGTGGTTAATATAACATCCTTTTTAGGTTCAAAAATTTTGACCATAGGGTTTTTAGATTGAGCTTCTTTTAATTTAATCAAGGCTGTTTGGTGTCCGTTCAAACTTCTGATTCTTCTTTCGCAACTCAGAAAACACTTCCATTCTTTCAAAATATTTTGACAAAAATTTGCTATAAAAATTGGCTAATCCAATAAATGATTCCAATTCTTTTTATTAGTTGGAGATTTAAATTTACATTGTGTTTGGCAAATTACCGTTTTCTGAAATTTGTTAACCCAACAATGTTAATTATTTGCCATTAAATATACACTTATTTTTGTTTATCGTCATTCCTGCCTTCCTCAACTTATCTATTACAAATTTAGTTTTTTGTTTCGGTTCTTCTTCAGTGGCTGCAACCTAAACATATATTGTCCTGATAAATTATCATATTTTCTACTCTCCCCACTAACAAATTTTCCATAGCTTTTTGAAATATCAATATCATCAAGAGCTTAGGAGAGGAGCTACAGAACAAATCAAATAACTCCAGTTGAAAGTGATGATTGCACACACAAATATAAAAGGT